ATTGTTTAGCAAGTCGCCGTTGCAAAGCAGGTCGAACCGTGCGACGGCGGGCTCGGAGCGACGACCGCGCGAGCCGTCGCTGGCCGGTCGCAAAAAAAAAAAAAAGGGCCTGGTCTGGGTCCGAGTGTGGAGTCAGAGCTTGGCACGAACCAAATTGAGACGGCTTTTCCCCATCTCTTGGCCCAGCTGGCAGTGCCGGGTGGGTCTGGCTCTCTCGGTAGAGTTTTCATGCGCAAGATGCCGGTGAATAGGGGTCAGCTGCCCATTAGACGAGTAGGGGAAAAAAAAAGACACCTCAGCTTTGGTGTGCCCATGTGTCCGGTAGTGGGGATGAGGATGAGGAGAGAGAGCTGACGCACGAGGGAGGAAATCCTATGAAACCCACTTTCATCGTGCCAACAACCATCACTTGCAGATCCGCGACGATCGTGACTTACTATTCCCCACGCGTCTACGTCGCCGACCCAAAGTACGAGTACGATGCAAATAGTAATGCATTACAAAGAAAAAGACAGGGCGAAACAATGCGCGGTCGCACGAAGCCGAGGCTCTGCTTCTGCCTGCTGCCTGTTGCTTCAAACCAGGCGCCTCGCAGCTTTTGCTCATTTCTGCACATTTCCTCGTTCGGCGTCGCCGCCGCCTCGTATTGAGATCTGAGATCTCGTCGAGCCACCCGCTCGCCTCGGGCACCAATTCCCACGGACCCCCGGCCGCGATCAGCAGGATCTACAAACCCCCCCAACAAGCTCGCTGTCAAGATTCAAGCCGGCGGCAGCAGCACGCCAGCAAACGTCGCCGCAACGGGCAGCCACCAATGCAATCGCACGACGAGCCGCCGACTAAAGTCCGACCGGGCGGTGATGCACGCACGGGTGATGATGATCATGATGACCACGCACGCACGCTGACGAGGATGCCGAGGCATGGAGCGGAAGGACACACAAGTTTCGATATTGTTTGTATTGACCGAATCGCGTCAAGACGGAGATTGCGCCCTTCTCGCTCCGTTTCGCATGCGCTGCCTCTTCCGGCCGCTGCGGCCTGTGCCCAATCACGCAGCTCGTTCTCGCTTCATCACATCTTGGGAGGTGGAGTCTCGGCACCCCGAGCATCCGCACCCGTGCAGCCGTGACGCGCATCCTCGCTTCGCCCAAAGTAGCAACCACCGCCCCAAAACGTGAGCTTCCCAATCTCCCCATCTCCATACCAAGCCGTGAAAAGCCTCTCCCACGGCCAAGCTCACATCGGCTCCGAGCCACTCCCGCTACTAAACGTCGCCACACCTACACCGATCACGTCCACACACACCGCCCGCCTCCACCGCCACCACTACCACGTCCACCGCACGCAAGCAATAAACTCTCCACCGCCACGGAGACGCCGGACGCCCAGACAGCCGCTGCGCCCTTCCCCTGTCTGCCTGCTTCTCTGAGACGGGGGTGGTGGCTGCCTGCATAACTGCAGGCCCCGGCCGTCCACGCCTTCCGCTCCGCCAGAGGTTGTCGTCGTGAGCCCTTGGGCGGACCCGCCGTGCCGGGACGCCTGAGGCGCGCGGGTGTGCGTGCGTGCCACGTGTGGTGGCGCTCCGATGGGGCGGCGGTGCAGATTCCGGTGCTGCCGTGCTGGATGCCTGTCGTCTTTCTCAAAAGGCGTGTGGGGCTCATCTCGGTAAGGCGGGGTTTGCGGCTGATGTCAGAGCGAGGAACGGAGTTTGTGAAGAAAGAGAGGGGTTGCGTGGTTTGGGTGATTGGTCAAGCGCAACCGCGCACCGGTGAGGGAATGAGCGTGCCGAGGATAATGATGATGATGATTATGATTATGGCCGACGAAACGACTCGAGCCCGGCGGAGAGCGCGTGGCCTTGGCTGCTTGTCATGGGACACGCATGCTTACTCCAGGTATCTGCCTCTTTTACTCTCTATCTCATTTCCTCTCTCCCTGTTTTTCTTGTCTCCCTGCCCAATCCTCTGACGGACAACACACATGCTCACTTACCCACCTGCGCAGCCTCGCATCCCCAACAGCTCCCAATCCACCACCACCGCCTCGCCACATCACCGAGCCCTCATCCTCTTCCCCTCTCTCACCTCAGAAGAAGACAGAACAAGAACAAACCCGTAACCCACAATCCCATCCATTCGCGCCTCCCGTATCAGTGACTCACTCCAAATCACTCACTCACTGAACACACCGCTCCCATCCATCCACTCAACCGCTACATCTTCTCCACCCAGCACCAAGTCCGTCCGCCTACTGACACCAGTCAGTCACCAGGCAGCCTATCGCGGCACGCGCGCCCCGCCACGCCACCCGGGTGCTTGGCCGCCGCCTTGCCGCCGCGCTTGGCGCTGCCACCCACCGCCCCATCGCTTCGTCTCTGGTCATCTCGCCTCGTCCCATGCTCGTCTCATCGGTCTCATCCTGAGAGAAGACCCCACTTCGCGGCGCGCGCGGCGGGGTGTGCTGCTGGAGGTCCCGCTGGGAGGGGTCCTTTGAGGCGTCATATGTCTCAGCTGTGAGGTCGGATGCTGCCCTGGGAGCGGTGGGCTGTTGGGACGTTGCTGCTGCTGCTGCTGCTGCTGCTGCGGCGGCGGCGGCGGCGGTGGCAGTGGATACGAATGACCGCATCGGTGATGATGCTGTCAGTGTCAAGTGTGGACGAGTGCAGACGGACGACAGACGGCGCTGCGTGCGTGCGTGCGTGCGTGCGCGCGGCTTGCTTGCCCCATTGGCTCCCGCTGCTATGCCACCCGCTGCTGCAAAGCACGGTGGAGATGTAGGCACGTAGGCTGGTACACGCACCGCTGCTAATTATGCGCAATAGGCACGTCCACATACACCATACGTATGTACCAAGACAGCAACCTACGCGCGTAGCCCCCTCATCCACTCATCCATACGTCCGTACCATGCGCACTTAATGCTCGATAACACTAGCTACAATAGCAAATAAGTAAGCAGACCTACCCACCCCTAAATGTGTCGTGCATGGCCCCATCCTACCTATTGTACGCTTCCCGCCCGCTTGCGTGCCTGCCTGTCTATAGCATACGCCCCCCGTCCTTAGCACCGCGCCGCTGCTGCACCGCACCCGCCGCTCCGGTCTCCTGGCGCCGTACGTAGATACTCACTCGCAGGCCCGCCGCGTCAGCTAGCTAGCGCAGCGACGGCGCCGGGAGCCGGGTCGGGCCTTGCGGGCGCTGCATGAAGGAGGAAGAGTGGCGCGGCGCCGCGCGGCGTCGGCGTGGGTACGTGGATGGGCGGGCACATCCGGGCGCGTGGGAGCTGGTGCTGGGGCTGGAGCTGGGGGTGGAGTTGCGGGTGTGGAGCCGTGAGGGTTGGTTTGCCGTTGCTGCTTGCTTGGTTGCGTTTTGTGGTTTGTGCGGTTGGTGCGTGGTTGGATGGTGAGGGCAGGTGGGGGATTGTGCGTGCTGTTGCGCGGGAAGAGGACGGATTGGGTAGGTGCTGCTTTGGGTTGGTTTGGTGATCGGTGGTTGTTGTGGGAGGATTGGGTGGTGATGGAGAGGCGCGAGGGAAGTAGGTAGGTTGAGGGTGAGGTTGAGGCAGGAGAGATAGAGTCTACTACCCTCGTCGAAATGCGAATTGGTAGGTACAGAGATGCATAGGTGAGTACATACACTCCTACCCTTCGACAGTAGCAGCAGCATCATCATCAACTTCAGCAACGCCGCGCAACGCAACGCTTCCGTCCTACCACACGACGCACCAAACGCCTATCAACACCGCCCATCTCGCCCCCGCAAACCAAGCAAACCAGACCAGGCCAAGCCAACCCCATCCCTCACCCTCGCCCTCACCTCGCGCTCGCGCTTCGCCAAACACCGAGCCCGCTCTCCCCCATCATCAGCCTGCCGCACCATCAAACGCACACACCATCCCCGGGTACGTCCCTCGCCATCCCATCGCGTCAATCGCATCAGCGCATCGCAGCGTATACCACGCCGGGCTAGTCGACGCCCCTCCCGCTGTCCGACTCATCTCATCTCATCTGTCTACGCACCTAGCTAGGCATCTCGCTAGCTCATCTCCCAGAATAGCACAGCAGAGCAGAGCTAAAACGCTACACTACGCTAGGCCCCGTCCCGCGCGTACGGGCTCCATACGCCACGCAACGTAGTGACGGGTTTCCGCGCGCGCTCGAGCGCCGTCTCTGGGTATGTACGCCTCCCGGCTCCTTCTTCCTTTCTCCCCTTCTCCCCGCTCCTCGCCCCCTGCCTGCGCCGCGCTGCTGCTGTGCGTGTGCGTGTGCGCCGTAGTAGGTAGGTGTGTGTGTGTGTACTGCAGAGCACTGCTGTAGCGTACGGCACGCCCCCTCCCCCTCCTCCCTCCCTACCCACGCCGCGCCTCGCCGCACCGCACCGCGCCGTTGCTGCGCCGCACCAAGCGAGCTTGCCGCGCACATGGCTCATCACCCAGCCCACGCGCCGCTGGGCTTCGCGCCCTCACTCGCCGATTGGACCGTCCGCTCACGCCTTTGATTAGCTCTCTAGCTCCATAACCCGTTGGCTCGCAAGCTTATTACCTCCCCTAGCCCGCTAGCTCATTCGCACCCTCCTTAGCTCGTTGGCTCGCTCGCGCGCTCATTCGCAAGCTCGTTCGCTCGCGAGCTCACTCACCTCGGCATCCCTGCCCCATCCGGGCACGTCACTCGCTCGTATTGGGCGAGTCCCGCCGTGGGGCCCGTGGCGTGGGGGCCGACCTGCCAACCGACCCGCTGACCGGGCGGGCGGCGCGGGGGCCGAGCGTCTTTTTGGTGGAGCTTTGCCTGGCCTTGCTTGCTTGCTTGGAAGGGGAGGGGGGATTTGTGGGTTTGGTGCGGTTTGGTTCCGCGCTGCTCTATCTCTCTTTGTTTTGAGGGTAGGGGTGCGTGATGAGGGTTTGATGGGCGTGATAATGCGGCACGTGCGGCGCGTGCGGCGCGGTGGAATTGGGATTGGGCTTGCGCGTGCGCTCTGAGAAGGGCAGATGAGGGGGGAGGGAGGGAGCTAGGTAGGGGGAGGGAAGCTGGATGGCGAGTCTGCGCTGCACGGGGGCAGTAACAGACAGGCAGGCAGGCAGGTAGGCGGCATCACGGCGCGGTGACGGCGCGCGCGCGCGTGCGTGTGCGAGCGAGCGAATGAGTGAATTATCAGCAGTAGCAACCAGCAGCCCCAGCAGCTCCAGCTTGCGCGCAAGCGGAGCAGGCCAGGCCAGACCAGCGAGCAAGAGGGCCGCTCGCCGGCCCATCCGGCCGTCGTGCAATGCGACGACCAGCCAGCCAGCCAGCCAGGCCGACAAAAATAATGTAGCGAGAGCAACAACAGCAGCAGCAGTATTTTGTGACCAGTAGTAGTAGTAGCAGCAGCCTGCAGTAATACACAGGCGGCGTTGTTCTCTCGATCGCTGCAGTAGCCCAGTCCAGAGCAGACTGGCTCGATGGGGCTGCGGACTGGTCCAGACCGCGGTGGTGCATCAGCAGCATCTCAGCAGCAAGGCTATTTTTAGCCGTAACGAGGACGAGGGGGGGTTGTGCGCGCGTGAAGAGAGGGCCCGGCGCGGCGTGTTGGTGGCGGCGCGCAGGCGGGCGTTTAATGGCTGCGGAGGGCTTACGGCGCGCTCGTGGAGCTTGGCCTGCGGGCTGCGATTGCGAGCTGCTTGTTGGGGCTTCCTGTCCTTGTTGTTGCTGCTGCTGCTGCTGCTGCTGCGCGCGGAATTGGTTGGGCTGGGCTGGGCTGGGCGCGCTGTTGGTGAGGGGGTGCGTGGACGGGCAGCGAGTAGTGAGTGAAGGAGTGAGGCGTGCGATTGTTTGCCTGATTGCTTGGGGATGGTGCTTGTGTGTCAGTCTATTTTTCGTTGTCTTTCTTGATGGTTGGTTGGGTGCTTGGCTGGATTCGTGGATAGATCATGGCTGGATATGTCTCTCGCTTTGCCTGGTCCTTGCCCTGGTTCTTGTCCTCCTCTTGTCCTAGGTAGGCTGCTACGACGTCGTGTGCCCGGCCGTGGCAAGACATGGCATGCCTGCTGGCTGGCCAGATCTCGGGCTGACGGGCGGACAGCCTGGCGCCGTCGATCATCCTCCCAGCGCGCAGGTAAGTAGGCAGGCCGTGGCGCGCTGGCTGGACGCCTTGTGCCCGGCGCCTGTGTCATACTTCTGTGCTAGGCGGAGCGGAGGCGGAGGCGTGCGAGGGGCTGGAGCGGCTCTCTGACTCCTTGGCTGTGCCGCATCTGGTCTCTTCCTCTGGCTTCTTCCTCGTGATGGAGAGCGCGCGCGCGCACATGTCTATGTATAGGCATGATCGGCTTGGAGTGAGGCTGGATCCTCGCTTGGGTGAAGAGGGAGGTTTGCTCCGTTGCTTGGCTGTGCGTTTGCGGGTTCGTATTTCCGGCTCGCGCACTGGGTAAGCGGTTGTGCGATGCGGGGTGGTGTGGTAAGTGTGGCTTCCGAATTGCAATGCTGTTTCTTGTTGAGGAAAGAAGGTCCGGAGATGTATTGGGGGCTGTGAGAAGAGGTGAGTGGCAGGTGATTTGTTGAGTGTTGTTTCTGCTGGAGGGACGAGCCGGGTGTCTTTCGAGGTCTCGTTACGCTGGGGAGACGGCTTGCAGCATCAGGAAAAAGGAAAGAAGAAGAAGAGAGACAGATGATGATGAATCGTGACGCTTTGAAGCCGGTAAGTTCAGCCTCTGGTTTTGGTATACACTGTCGCCCAAGTTTTCATTGTTCCTTGTTTCCACTGCGATCGGCTTGCCGCAGGTTAGTAGATGAGGTGAGTGGACCAGCGTTCACTGAACGCATAGAGGGTTTTCTTAGCAGCTTTGTGGTAAACTCCATTACTCTTTTCTTCTCTTCTTTTTCTTCTTTCATTGGGTTTTGTGTTGTTTGCCATGGTCTCTTGTCTTTTCCTGGCAGTTTGTTTGCCCATTTCACCCTTTCCTTGATTCGACGAAGAAAGCAAGACAAGTTAATCATAGACCTTTGACGATTGAAGGAAGGCAGTTCGTTTTATCCGGAGTAGCCGCTGTGGGCGTTGAATGCCGCATCATGAGTGTGGTGGTGCGCCAGCTCGTCATCACATGCATGTCTATGCGTGGTGTTGAAGAGAAGAAGCCCGTCGTTGCATGTTGTTGTACTCGTCTGTCTTTACTTTTTCGCACGTCGTCTTCTCTGCCTCGGTGGCCGGTGCGGGGTGCGGGGTGCTGGGGTGCGTGATTTTCCTATCCTTGCTGCATTCTGCGTCTTTCCATCTATCGTCACTGGTCCTTCTCTGATGTTACATCGTTACACGAGCGGTATACTCGACATGTCTGAAGAAAATCGAAGCCATGGAACGATGGGCTGATACCGCGAAAAAGACAAGTATGAAAAGGAATGGAGATTATGTTCTCTAAAATCCAGTATTGCGAGGACATGAAATGCTCATGATGCGTTTTATCTCATAAGTACATTACCGTCTAAGTCTTAATCAATATCCGTTTACCTCATAAATTCACCTTATTCAATAATCCCTTGTGCCAGGACTATCAGCTTTGAAGGAGTTAGTCAGTGACTTGCCTACGGAGTAAAATCTTCAGCCAGCGTCCCGACAAGCCCCCTGATGCATATCCGGGCTTTGTATTGCTGAAAAAGGATATCAGTGCAATCGACATGCACTGACTGATATGTATTGCACCTAAACTGCTTGTGTATATTCACTGTACGCAACTTGCGATAGGCTATTAGTTTATTCTGAACTGTTTCGTGCTCTTTAGCTTGATGCCCATGCATCATCACCAGCACATCACCACCCCGAAAGTCTGCGCGCACCGCTTTGAGATTACAATCCACTAACAATTCACATATATCTTCCTTACATGGCGATACACAAGACATTTGCTATTCCTACCAGTATCCTGGAAGCACAATTAGTCACTATAAAAATGGACTAGAATGGTCCAATGACCCCTGTCCTGCCAGCGAACACGCTTTCACGAGCGGTAAGATCTGGGCTGCCATCCTCAAGGACAAGAGGCTACTGTGGGTGGTATAGCGAAGGATAGAGAGGGCTACTCTATCACTGAAGCATCAAGCAATACTGTTTCAGCCAATTACTGTACATTATTACCAGCCCCACCGGATGATGATCGACTTTTTTAATAAATGATAAACAATGTCATCATCGCAGTCACTGAAGTCTAAAGCCACACCACTTCCTGATCGGAGCCTGGCCTCGACTTCCTCGCGTTAATAGCAATTATGGCGGCAGCCCCGTTGGAAGTTTGATTTATGGGACAGAGAATAGGGATGAAGGCAAAGATGTGAAGGAGGTGGAGCTACAACAAGGATTACAGGATGAGTTGAAAGCTTTGTGGGACAAACTATAATAGTTTATACTGCACGCCCAATTAGTCGAGCTTGAGATGTCAAAATATGGCCGAGCATATTTAATAGCCGCACTACACTGAAGCCGCGTTCAGACACACTATAAGCACCATTTTCGAGATCAAGAGCTCCTGCACCTTTGCGCCATTGAATTTGTGCCATTTAAACAAGAAGGCAAATATGGGGCGGCGGTGCGACTGCCGGAACTTAAGTGACTGTTGTAATAATCTAAACAGTTCGCAATGTACCAAGTAATTTCAACCCCTCTAAGCGATCAACGATGGGGAAAGACGCGAAGACGATACTGACTTGGTTGTACTTCATCAATGCTTTGAAAAAACAGGCAGTCCCAGATATCAGTGGCATCTTGGATCGAGCGTTGGAGAGAAAGTCTGGAATAATAAGAGACAGTGTCCCGATATTAAGCCTAGAAAATCTCTTTCTCCCTTGCCATACCTTAAACCCACTAGACGAAACTCACCTCTTGAAGATATGCTCGGCCATGCATACAAAACAGTGCTCAATGGGTAACTTCAACTAGCAATGTACTTTCATATTCCCACCCATGATTATTAAACCAAGGTCTGCGGCGATACTCACAAGTAAAATTCCTCTCCAGCGCTAAGGTTGACAGACTCAAATCTAACATTGTCCTTTGGCCTGAAATTAAGCTAGCCATGGGCCATGGTCCGGCTACTTAAAACTGGCGTCAGCTGGCTCTTTGGCAGTCTCAAGTCGTCCAAAGCTGGGCTAGCTCTGATAAGAAAAAACAACCAGGTTATTTTCACATTCTGTTGGCGGAGGGATAGTAGCACGAACGTCTTGATGATTTGGCAGTTAAAAAAGAAAGAGGTTAAGTTAGATTCCTTCGTGTCTGCCTGTCTGGATGCTATGTTTTGCTGGTACTTGATAACGTTGTTTCTTAGTGGTGCTAGGAACCACACAGAAAACATATTGATTATCACCATCATAAACTCAGCTTTTTGGTTTGGTTACCGGGGACACTGGAAAGTTCGAAGATACTGGTCGTTTCCAATGAGTAGAGGGCATAGTTTATTAAGAGCGGCCACAGTTCAGCAGTATTGGCCACAGGTCTTGATACGTGACGTCTGAAGATATGATCTCAAGCTTTGCACGCATTTTCTCTGCGCTAGTGGTTTATGTGGAAAGGAATGGATAACTGAATCTTAGGAGTAGCTGTTGTGATAAGGACAATTCTAGATTTACCGCCACATGACAGACGAGGTATTTTAGTCATGTGAGCGATTGGTTCACCAGATTAGCATATAGTGTTCACTTTCGGCAGGCAGTTAGATCTTAAGGCCAGAGAATACGCATTGCCAACGCAACCTCCACATCACAATTGACGCTGTGGCCTGCTCGATATTGGCATCTCCGCGAGCACCAGACAGCAGCGTCATGTTCTATGTTTGTGAGCGGATTTGCTTCTCCTCTCCCTCTCCTTTCCTTCATCCAGGGCCTTCGTCCGAGAAAGATGCACCCGCACTTGTGAGGCTCCATGCGACAGCGCGCATATCCAACGTCAGTGTCAACACGGGCCATGCCCAATCACCACATCCACAGAAAACGCTCATGTCGGCCGAGTCCTACATTGGCCGCTTCATACGCATTCCATGCGACCGCTGCGGCACTTCCCTTTCTGCTTTTGTGCCCAGGAGGGCGTCGGCGAGAAGGCCTTCGCCAAGTACAGCCCCTCGGTCGGGATAATGGATCATGCATAAGATGGTGTATGCTTCGCACCGCGCTATTCTGCGCGCTGAGCCTTTTTTGTACCAGGCCATGCCCAGTATTGTGAAGCTGTGTGCGCATCTCCGCCATATTCAACCGATGTGGGGAAAACGGATCCCTACTGCACAGAAGAATTTCTCAAAGCCGAAGAAGGGTGTTTGTCTCAGAGGCTATGGCCATATTGGAGTATAAGAGTGACTTTGTGGCTGACCCTGTGAGATACCAGCGAGTTACGGCGGACAAGATCACAAGGTCAAAGAAGGGAAGACAACCAAACTGGGCAAAGATATTCTGTCCTTTTCGAAGAGCATTATCAGCAATGAACGCTAATACCCAGCATCTTCAAGCAATAATGTTGTTGACCAAATAGTATCCCTCCAAACCGGTCGCCTAGGAACCTCAGTAAGCTATTTCTAATCAGGTGTGCCTTGTGCGCAAGGGACCGACATATGTAATGCAAGCGTGTTTTATCGTTGACTTCTTAAGGACCCCCAATAATCATCCGGTCTGCCCAGCACATTGAAAGCCTTCGAAGTTTGATGCACTTGTAAATAAAAGACAGATGTACCGATCACCGGACACGAAGCAATGTGCCCAGGTCGTTCACCCTTCGTGTTGATAAGATGAAAGATGATGATGCCAGCCTGGATGCCTGGTTGCCTTGTACTGAGTTCACGCTATAAATGCGAGGGAGCTGGCAGTTTAGAACTTCTTAACAAAAGCAACAATTTCGCCCGCTTCCGTATATGGCCTTCACCATGACCTTTTCAGAAATTGGCTTCTGGATTCATTTTTCGCCTTGAGGATCTAATCAACGTGTTTAGCGTTAAGCTTTTGGACTCCCCAACCAATGAAGACCATTTGCTGGTGTACTCATGGGCCTCTAGTCTTTGAAGGCTTATTGTGCTTCTAGGAGAGATGCCAGTAGCTGATCTTGTGAAACATAAGCAATAAAAAACAATTGGGACTGATACCTCGTGCCCCGCTCCTTCCACATAAGCATGTCTCTCGAGATATTGTATTAAGTGTCCAATATCCGCATATCTGTACCATGTGATGCTCCCAGAAGGACAGTCTCAGCTTGATTTCCCTCCTTGGTACGATTCCGAAGGAGCCCGAAAGACATCCACTTGCCAAGACACTCCTGTCTGTACAATTATACTGAGCCTAGCGTAGATCGCCAGCTGAATGCCGGCTTTAAAACTGGATGTATGGTCAGGACTGACATAAGTCGCCGTCATGTCTGTCGAGGATGGCTGCTGTGTCAATGTGGCACAGTCCCGAACGGAATGGTATTAGCCTTCATCCACTGTCTACCGGGACCAGCTTGATGACAGAATCCACGCTCGTCACACAGTAAAGGCTCTCTATTTCTTTTGCCCAGGATAAACGGTGTTTGAGCGCATCCGGATGACCGTGTGCATCAGCCGCGATATAAACCCTAGGCTAAATGGAAAACCGTGCTAATGGGTCCCGAAATACGATGTAGGAACAACATAATCGGTTGTAAATTAATTTGTACAATAATGCACTGTTGGAGACGACTAAACTTCGGGCAAGCTTTCGAGGCAAGGTGGTAAGGTGCCGGCCGGGTTTGCCGGGTTTTTGTGGAAGTTCCGGAGGTTGTTGGGTCGAAAGAAGGCTTGGACATCTATCCACCAAGCCCAGTGATTGCCAGTGTTTGTTGTCTTTCATAGCACATATCTTTCGGATGCGGAGCGGCGGCGCCCGAGCATCGCCAACAGCACTAATACGAGTGAGAATAGAGCCATGACCAATATCCCTGCCAAAAGTATGAGTGACTATGCCTACACCCCCAGGCAAGTTGCGCTGCAATGTTCAGAAGTAGCAGTGTCCGAGTAGTGACATGTTTGATGAACGTCAAAGTACCTATCCCCATCGATTTAGATCACTGTGAACGCGAATAGAGTTACACTTACCCATTCGGCTCATGCATACATAGCTTGGCCATTGGTGGAGCATGCGCCGTCGAAAACCGGAGGTTGGAGCGTGGAGTTTGCGGTTGCGATACCGGTGCCTGCATCCCCACATGCCACCTAGCGCTGCTTGGCAGTAGGGCCACTCATTCCCTTTGAGCCTCAACAGTTAGGTGCGGCGGAGTGCGTTGCTATCCAGGCTGATTATGTTGGTCAGAAGACATAGAGTCGCCCAAAAGAGAAAGGCCTCAGCATGCCATGCTTCATTTCGTTGCCGACCCTAGGCTTAACATCATCACATCAGACCGTGTCCACCGTGTCCCATCGTCATATATTGTACAGCATCATGAAGGGAGTGTCGGATGTTTCGTGCTGTGCTTGCTGAAGACATGTGCTAAGATTGAAATCGAGATGGTCGCACCCTCGGGCGAGCGGATGTGTCGTCGGCTCTTGAATGCTCTGGTCAAAGCCTTCTTTGGCCGGATTGTTATTCGAAATAGGCGTATAAGCAAGAATTGACATGGGGTCGAAAAGAACTGCCAATTAGAGATGTGTCGTATGGAAAGTTAGCAATTGAAAGGAGCCCAGATGCTCAAGTAGCACGACTTCAAGGAAAGCTGGGCGATGAGGCGCAAAGGACGTGCTTCGAAACATAGACCACACTGAGAATAGCTCCGCAAGAACAAGTGCTCGCTCTTTCGTGATTCAGAACAGCCATCTCTTTTAAAGCGTTCAAAACTTCCAGTTGTACTATCTATCTTGACGCTGGGGTAATTGGAGCTATGCACAATACATTCCCGGCCGGGAAGAGATATTCGAGAACCAAGGAAACGCTTAGAGGACGGAAAGGTCGCCGAACTTCTCCTGTGGGGGTATTAGCACACATACAACCCGAGCCAATTTTTTTGCAAAGGGAGTGGATACGCACCTTGTAGCCGGGGACGGCCCAGCGGCCCTTGGAGACGAGCTGCTCGGTGCGCTTGTCGATGTCCGGGCGAGCGGCAGCAACATCCTCCTGTATAATTGCACCGCATCAGCAATCGCATTTCCAGCAAGAACCCCATAATCCTCTGCGCCAGACAAGATACGCACCACAGTGAGGTCCTCGAACGGCCTGGCCTCCTCGATGTTCTTCAGCGTCTTCTCCAGATCCTTCAGCTCGTTCTCAATAACGCCCTTGGTCTCCTCGGCGCTCTTGACGGCCTGGGCCTCGAAAGCCTCAATGGACTTGATCTGGCGGTTGACGTCGTAGGTGGCGGGCTTGAAGGTCTTGAACTCCTTCTCGATCTGGTCGACGATGGCCTGGTTCTTCAGCACGCTGCGGTAGTGGCTGAAGTCGACCTGCTGCGGCTGCTCGGACAGCATCTGCACCTTGCGACGCGCATCGTCGTGGCGCTTCTTGAAGGCGACGAGGGAGTTGGCGGTGTTGCCGCGCAGGCCAAGCTGCGTGCCCAGCTTGGTCCAGTCAATCTTGAGGGCTGCGCTGCGCTGTTGGAGTAGAGGGGTTAGCCGGTATCCTGCGGAGGCCAATGCGGAGGAAACTTTGCGAATGCGCTGGATGTGCGGTCCGGAGCATGCTGAGACGGGGCAGGGAAGAGTCTGGGACGTACTCCGACGGCCATTGTGATGGATGTGATGTGGTTGCGAGTGGAGAGGGCTTCGGATAATGTGGATGAAGTCGGCTTGCGTTTTCGAGCTCCAGCGCCAAGAACAAGCCGGTAAGGTCACGTGCAGCAGCTCTGCCTGAGATTCACGGCTTCAACGTAGTTACAGAGGTTTGGCCACTGTCCAGAGATCTCCTTTGCCAATGCGATTGCAATCGGAATCGGGAGCTAAACTGAGCTCGAAATTATGCATACACAGGCATTGACACAGATTCATAACCAGTCATATTCGCAGAAGGAGCTTTTTAAGATTTTAACCATAACTCCGTAGAGTCATGGCCCGGATACCAGTCGATCGCTCATACCCTATCTTATACATATGCACCTGTGAGGACCCGTCCTTTGCCCGAAGCTTCCACTTCAAGATTCCAGACGAGGCGCGTCATAGCCTCATAGCCGCGACAGATGCGCTAACTTATATGCTGAGAGCCATGATGGAGTTGACAATGTCGTTGTCATTCTCCTTGAGCGCCTTGACGGCCTTCTTCCTCGACACGCTAGCCTGCTGCATGACAAGCTCGATGTCCTTGGCCTCGAGGCCGGAGTCGTCAACCTCCTCGCCGTCGTCCTCCTCCTCTTCCTCCTTCTTCTCCTCGGTGGCAGGCTCCTTGCCCTTGCCGTGGTCGTGACCCTCGTGCGACTCGCCGGCAGCCTCGGCCTGGGCGAGCTGCTGAGCAGCGGAAGCCTGGGCGGCGGCGTTCAGGTCCTCGATCTTGGCCTCACCAAAGACGCTACGCTCAAATTAGCATCCTGTATAGCGGGTGCATCAGCGGAGAAAGCAGAGCTTACATCCAGGTGTTGCTGGAGGGGGACTTGTAGACATCGGGGTTGTTGATGACGAAGAGGATCTGCAGAATAAGTGGTCAGTGATGGTCTTTACAAGGGCGAACATTTAGCTCGCAGTTGCGCCAGGGTGAGTGCAGCTCCCGCCAATTTTTCGTGATGGTCTGTTGGCGGGGTCTTGCCCATTACGAGCTGCCCACAACCCAAGCTTCACAGCAGCTCAAAACATCGTCACACTCACGTTCTTGGGCCTCCTCAGGGTAACACGAGTGATGCCCTCGATGTGCTTCAGGCCGAGCTTGGCAATGGCCTTGCGGGCCTTCTTCTCGTTGCGCGAGTGAACGGTGACGGACGCGCCAGCGGGGATCGTGGCATCGCCAGCCTCCTCGCCGGACTCGGAGCTGGACTCGTCCTCGACCTCGGCGACCTTCTTCTCGGGCTCGTCGGGGATCTCTTCGACACGCGGGTTGGCCATTTTGACGGGTGTTGTGGGAGCGATGCTGTGATGTCGTCGACGTAAAGCTCAATGCGCGGGCGGTTGGGCTGGGCTGCGGATTTCGCTTGTGCGCGGTCCTTGCGAAGCGAGACACGGCGGAGTGATGCCATCAGAAGATCACCAACGCGGGGACAAAAGGTGTCCCCAACATCTCCTCGCATCTTTCCTTGGCTGCATTTGGATCCTGCAACTTCGCTCGTTCATTGCATCTTTTTGTTAACCGTGTGCTGGTCAAATATTGACACGTGGTTGAGTGTTGCTTTCAACTGCTCCGCGTAGTCGCTGTGCAATCGTTTGCGAGTACAACAACTTGCTCAAGATCTATAGGCCGCTTGCATTGCATTCATGCAGGGTTGGTTAGAGTTGCTGGCACACCATCATTCGTACGTGCCGGGGGTTGATTTGGTGCCATGTGTCTGTTCAATCACCTAGACAATCTTTACTCAACTGCGCGCGACCTCAACCCGGAAATTGATTGCACTGTGTTTACTTTCAGCTGCAACTTGTTATAGTTAGCTCTGTTAGCTGGCGCGGAAGTTCCCTCTGAAGGCCCATAAAAGCAAGAGCTTATCTTGAGGAATTAAATAGTAGAAACCATAACCAGAAACATGTGCGGGGAACACGCCTTGTATCAAGCCATTTTCCAATTCACTTAGGTTTTTACATTACTGCAAGTAAACAGCAGCAATTATAGAGCTGGAAAGCTTAACCACATATGCAAAATGCATGGCTAAATATTCAAGATGCTTCAGATGAATTGAGCAATTCACTGTTTGATATGCAGCTAGCCGAAAAGGGCAATCCTTGGCAATACAACCTCGAACATAGTGATATATCTCTGTGCCACCGTGCCACGTCTCGCCTCTGGAGCCTCTGAGGGAGGCTTCTGGGGCGGCTGCCGCCTCAGCTGCACTCCGATGTGATACGGCGGTGCCCAAGGCCTCGGAGGCTGCAGAGGCTGCGGGGGCGAAAGTACGTGGCATCTTGTCAGTAATGAGCTAGAAGTAGTCATGATCTACTCCAAAATAAACAGAGTGCTAATCTGATGTTCCCGTCGCCTTTCAAGCGTACAGATTGTGATGTCTTGACAATTGATGCAGCTGGGAGGATACCCAAACGCTCACACCAACAGGCATGTCCACCTGAGCAAACCGAGCGCAGTCAGGTCGCAGCCTTACATTATTGTCGGAAAGCTGATCTCTCTGCGAAGTTGCAGTCCACTGTCCACCCCCATGTGCATGATCAAGACGTAACTGAGGTACCAGCCTTCTCCTTTACTCACCAAAAGTAATTCTTCCACATTTGGTGAGTCTTCCACATCATGAATGCGCTTTGTCGGTGGTAGGATCAAAGATTTTGAGCGCAGTCGATCAGGGTACCTGAATTATTTGCGTTCGATAGAAGGTGCCCACCAAGCATGTCCACGGCAGTCTGCCTCTTGATACCCACGCGTGTACAGTCTGACTTAAAATGGGAGAAGTACTAGCGTCAAGTAGGTTGAATGGCTCCCCTCTAGGGTGCTGTGGGGAGAGAGTCTGGAGGTGGGGAAATGGAAGGCTTGATAGAGGATGAGAAGCGCTTACCCTAACAAAACAAAGACAGTTAATGGCCATTGAATAAGTTTTCCTCCAGAGAACGAATATAACCGAAAAAAACCTACTCTCCGGCATAGCTCAAATGACGTCAGGTCCTTGTCGAGCCGACCTGTGAGCACCTCAGCCAGAGAAGGCGCAGTTCTGTGATGTGTATGCGGAAAGCCAAGTGTTCTGGCGACATGTAGTTGACAAGCTACGAGATGATACCGCAGCGAAGGTATCATAATAACTTTGGAAGATAAAAAGATGACTAGAAATAAAGAAAACATGACTGGAAAGAAAGGAAAACCAGTATCGGCGGATATGAGAACATGCAGAGGCATCCTATGCTTGCATTGTAGTCATTTCGTGACTTTAGAACAGGGGATTATGGCGCTGTCGGTAGTGTTCAAGACGAGCCTGGCTGCGTGTGATATCAAAAGGTGCACCGCAATCGCTCAAGCACTTCAGCTGGCAATCCACTGGTCACCGGCGCACGCCCATACTTTAGTAGACTTGGTTTTCCTGTCTCACTCAAAAAAGATTCCGTAGACGCCCCATGTCCGGATATGCTTTCATTTTGAGAACCCATGGATACATGAAGTTATGACCCGTGTCCATGTCGTTCTCGGTATCGGAAAATGCTGCGTCGAGGCATGTGAACGCAAGACCTTCTCCATTTTAATGCCATGAACAACCCGTCCTAAGAACCCCGTCCGACTAATAGCACCCCTTACGCCTTGGCGGAGGCGCGGACCTTGGCGAAGTTCTTCTGGACCTCGTAGCGGGCCTGTAGAATTTATGTCAGCTCGCGCTCTTTCCTGAATTTCCGAGGCATAACAAGGGCGTTGCCGCGCGCGCCAGGCGCTGCGGCTAACCCTCCCATGCTTCTCCGCCGAATCCGGCTGTCTTGGAAGGGTACCCACCTGCTTCCTCAACCTCATGACCTTGAAGCGCTCGAAGTCGTTCAGCGCCCTGCGCTTCGCAATCCTGTCCTTGTTCTTTGCCCAGTTGCTCTGGGAGAACTTCTTCTCGACCTCGGTGGCCTCCCAGGCCTTGCGGACGACACCGTTGCCGGCAGCGCGGGGGAGCTTGGCGATGACGATCGGGGTCAGGGACAGGTGGGAGAGAGAGACGGCGTGGCGGGGGACGGTCTTCTCCTTGGTGGAGGCGGGGCCATCAACGAGGACCTGTGTCCAAATGAGTACATGCTCCTGGTTTGAATATGCTCCGCGGATCCGGCGACTGTCCAGCGGGGGGCGGGCGGGTTAACGTACGCGCTTGTGGTCGATGATCTCGACGATGGCGGCCAGACGACCCTCGTACTCGCCGGTTGCGAAGAGCACAACACGGCCGACCTCGACGAGCCTCCAGGCGGAAGTCTTGACCTCTGCGTCACCCATTGCGATTGATGTGTCTGGCGGGAAAAGCGTGAGTGTATGTCTCTTGTGGCGTCGGCGTGGGCTCACGTACTGTGCTACGGGGTCGGTGGTGCTGTTGTCGTTAGTTGAGGTCGGAGTCGTCGTCGTCTTTCTTTGGGTCTATGCGAACGGGCTGAGTGGACGTTCGCTTACCGAAATCTCGTGTGTGCGAACTTGTGCCTTTTGGGTTTAGCGTTCCTCGCAACTTTTCCCTCACTTGAACGCTTCACGACTTTTCTCTTCCGCCAACTTCACTCCAACACCAAACACCACCATGCAGCAGCAGCAACAAAGGTAAGCACATCTCGTCGCATCATCTTTCTTTGAATGATGACATAATTTGCGATTGACTACAGCGACCGGAGACCCCCGCCAGGGTTTCATAACGGCGTTGTAGCTATGATATTCAATTCTTACATATTCTGACCCTTCTTCCACCTGCACACAATGTCGGCCATCAGTATCGCGAGCATTCTACTAACCTGAGTAGTAGTGTATTGTAGGTTTCAAACGGAGCGCATTGCGCATTGGTTGCATTCAATGTAGCGTTTCCACCCGCTGCCGCGATGGCACACGGTAAGGTAAGGCAACATTCGCTGTTTTTCAGCACTGCAAAACACTCCCTGTTCGATGATTAAAAAACATATCACGCCTAGATAGTATTTGACCCTTCGGGGACTGATTTTTTTTACACCAAGATCACTGAGAACACACCTAAAACCACAATTTCGCTTGCGCACAGTTTGTTTGAGCATTGGCTAATAGCATGCGCAGTACAGATCCATCTTCGAGGAAACATTTTCCAGAGCATTCGCGCACATGAGTACATGTCACTCAAATGCGATGAGCTGTTCGCTCAGTATCAGGGTAGCTATGGACTCGTTGAGAGGCAGTTGCGCGTAAGACCTGTGGCGGCGCTTCTTCCGCGCCTATCTGGCGTAGGCTCCGAATTTGTTGGTGTATCGACCGACGGCTGGCTGTCTATCACGGAACCTTCCCACCACGTCTATGTTGGCGTATTATGGGAAGGATTTCAGAGAGCATTTCGAGTTGGTTTAGAGTGAGATGATCTATCGAGTTGTAGGCAGATAGACAATAGAGCATTTGTATTGCTTGCATAAGACGCGCGCTCAAAGTGAATCTCCCAGAGTCAAGAATGATGATAGGTATGTATGGGCGCCAAGCCTTGTGCTACCATGCCCGCGGAAGCTGCAATGCGCGCGCCCTTACTTTCCCGCTGCAACTTGGCGTAGGGATTCACGCTCTCTGAGATTTCTACCACGTCCTGAATCATCTATATCGTGACCTTGAAGCTCCTAGCAAGCCTCCTTCAGCAAACAACATGTCCTTCTTCTTCCCATGGTTGAGGGCGGAGAATCGATCCTCCGTCGCAACGGGATCGACAGAAAGTGTAAACAGGCGCGGAGAAACACCGACACGCCCGTCGAAGCTTCGCCAGCCAGCCTCCGTGACCGTCAAGACACCCGCAACAATGAATACTTTCCGCGCGGGCATGCAGGTGCATGCCGTTCCTGAATCTGAACGCGCATTTGATGCGACTGGTCGCCAGCTCCCTTGGGGCTACGAGTACCCGGAGTAAGTCTCCCTCAAAACTCCCTCGTCTCGAGATACTACCTTGACCTGGTATATTAGAGCCGACATGACGCACTTTTTGACTGACACGGACTTCGACGGCGACCACAGTAACGAACACGGCCAACGTCGCCATGTTGAAGAGCGAGGCCCATTCGGAAGAGCGACACGGAGACGCGGTCTGTCGCGTAGCAAGACTACGGGCACACCGGCGCGCAAAGAAGACCAGGCGCAGGCAGAAAACACGAAGTACATAGACAGCATCTTTACCAACCTCAAGACACAACCCTCTTCGCAAGATACCGCCGCCGCGCCCGCCGCATCTACGCAGACCGCCGCCGCACCCGCTTTAGCTGCGAACCAAACGCCAGGCGCTGGCGAACCCACTGAGGTCATACTCTACGGGTTTAGCACTGATACCCAGTGGGCTGCGATTGCCCACTACGAGAAGATTTCCGGGGGCATCGTGTACGAAGATTATGACCGGCACCCACCCACGTCCAAGTACAATGTACCTCTCAGCACGAACCGGGCGCTTGCAGCGCGTAGTCTCTCAGCAGCAGCATTGAAGAAGAAGAACACGTACAGCGGCGGCGACCACTGGATCAAGGTCACGTTTGACTCGGCCGAGGCGGCAGACCGCGCCTGCCACTACACTCCGCACACCATCCACGGCCACTCTGTCTATGCCGAGTTGTACCGCGGCACAGGACCACAACACGGCGATATTGCCATACCGCCCACGCACGCCGCATTCAACAGCATAGCAAGCTCTCCCACCATGTCCAGCGCGACGATACGCGGCTCCAACGCCTCACCAAACACGTCCGAGACGGCCTCGTCGGCGACCGCAACCGGGCCCTCCGCTCCTCCTACCATTCGCAACCGGTCCGCGCCCTCGTCCTTCCGCTCAGCACTCACCAACGATGCTGCCGCGACCACGTCCTCGGACGCCTCCACCGGCGCCTTCATTCAACGGCCCCCGGGCGCTCCGCAAGCACAGCCTGGCACCGAGCCGCCCGCGCCTCCCGCGCCCCTTGCCCCTCTCCGCGTCCGCGGCGCAAAGCGCGCAGTCCTGCTGCCGGCCGAGCAAGCCCTGCTCCCCGTCGGCAGCTTTTGGAGCCAGATGTTTGGGTCGTGGCCGATTCTGGGATTGTTGTTTGGTGGTGGCACGGACGTGATCGGCAGCGAGGTCCCAAGAACAGAGGATGGAAGCTTCGATTGGGCCACTGCGAGCTTCTATTGGAAAGTCTGGGCGTGGATTGATGCGTGGCTTGGGACAGACTTTTTGGGGATTGGTGGGGACGAGTAAGGGGTTATTGTCTGAAGATTATTCGCCTTGTTGCGGGTGGATTTGCAAAGAGGCACGGTCTGAGAAAGTGGCGGTTGGGTTGCTGTCTGCGGACGCGGACTTGCATAGGAGAGAAAGAATGGGTTGGTTGCAAGCGAGAGACACGCATGAGCATTGGCGTTCCGGACGGACAAGTTTCAAGATAAGCTAAGCAGGAAAAAGCGAAGGCGTTTGATTTTATTATGTACGATCATGGGCTTTAGAGAGGTACAGTCGGTCTTGGATAATGAGCTATGCTATTTGCTGATACAGCAGTTGAAAGCACCACGTTTTAGGGATCTTGTTTGCGCAGAGCGGCGGTCCCTTTGTGAGCCTGCGGCTGTGCGGTTTGGCGGATCCTCAGAAGCCACGGAAGCGTGCGCTTTTCGGTTGTGATCTATCCGGTGGCTAGCCTGTTGCTCGACCCAAAGGCCCCGCTATCCAGCAGCTTGGGCGCGTTCCGGACAAGCAACGGCTGAAGACAGTGACGGACCCTGGTCCGGAGTGTCGGTAGGACTTTCAGCGCACTAGAAAGTGGGGACACGTAACGCTCATACTGTATGTCCGTCTAGTGCTTGTCTGGACTGTAGTTCGTTTCAACTTCTTTATTCGCGGGTGATTATAGATTTGGTAGCGGGATGTGAATGATAACAAAGGCCTAGATTTCATAGCTATTCTATCTACCCCTTGATCGTGTGTTGAGTAAAGCCTACTGTACCCACCGAGTACTCCTTGAGTAGTTATAGGTGACCTGAAGGAGAGAGGGGGCGAGGGCTACATAGATATGAAGGCAAGAACATGCGAAGGCATGAGAGTACTCTACAAGGGTATGAGGGGATGAGTACACGAGAGAGGGAGAAACAGCTAAAACAAGCTGACAAAACATTCACCGGAGGCAGGATACCACTCAGAAGCGTTTTGTGGACAGAAGAACGTATATTTGAGACCCCTCTACTTGGCCGGTTCAGAGAACCGTTTCCAGGAGACACGACGAGGACGTGTAGAGTAGGATTTGTCTCCCGACCGCCGGCATGCGCCGACGGCCCCCTGCAGTGCTATGTCTTACAGGGAATGGTGTTGAACGGGTTCATGGTGTCGTGATTTTGTGGTTCGTTATTCGTTATGACTTGATTCGTGATGTTGGCAGTCGTGATTCTTTCTGTCTTGATTCGTGATGTTTGTGTGGTGGTGATTACAGCGCTTGGTGTCCGCGTTTGAGGCTGTCGCATATTGTTTCGACGCCTCGTATGAGGCCAAATATTGCTTTGGAGATGCCGCACATGACTCTGAAGACTCCCATTTTGATGTTTGTTGTTGGGGTCTTGATCGGGATGGATGTTGGTTGGTGATCGCTGATGTTGGTGGAGTTCTCTGGTTGATTTGATGGCGGAGAACTCTGGGGTGGGCTGGAGAAGAAAAGAGAGAGGGGAGGGGGCTGACGACGAGGAGAAATACTCTCTAGTGTGACTCTTTGAACAGTACCATAGTTGTGATGTAGGGACCGGCTCTAGCCTCTTGGAAACCCACTGATGCCATCGCTGGACGGATAACAATGCCATCAGCTCTCTACAACAATCTGTTCTCTTGTTTGCCAAGGCGAAGGCAATTAGTTGTTCCTTCCATTAAGTCCCTTGGTGAGAAAAAGTCTTTGTTCGTCACTTAGAATGCAAACTTCTCTAAGGCTCCGGATAATTTGACCACTCCTCTGCTGTTAAACATACGTGAGTATGTGACTTGTTTCCACGCTCTTCTTCCTTTATACATTCGCACCTTTATAAAGTTCTCTTGTAGGATCTTACTGCCGCAGCCTCGTATCCTTACAGAGTACCTAAATTTAGTTATGTTATGCTTATATGCAGAAGAAGTACTTTGTAGGTATAGAAGATCTGGATAAGAATGCGGCCAGGGGGATGGAAAAATCAGGAACCTTCAACAATTTCTTTAGTACAAGGTCCATGGTATGGTCATATTTATCGTGCGTAGGGTCGTTTAAGAGGTCCGTTGAGTCATGACGAGACAACATTTTACTTTGCGCCGCTGTAGATGACATCTTCATTGCTTCAACCCGGAAAATTTGAGTTTTCAACCGTCCATCTTAGTTATCTGGTTGCGATCTTGGTCGATGCAATGGGGCGAACCGTGCCGTGCTAGGTACGAATTGATCAAGGGTCGAAAGAGTATTCATTATACAAAAGAACACTGAGGAACTCGTGTGTCGTGTCGTTGCTTTGCACAAGGTTTGAGCTTTTCTTTAACGGGCGTGGGATCTACTAATCAGCCAGCACTTATGCTCAGACTCCAAAGCGTATAGATCATCGTTTGCTGTGAGGTGTCATGGCTGCTACCCACCTACGTTGTCCCTTGCCTAGGTGGATACCGGTTAGATCGATTCCCGCCTCCTTTCTATTAAACAGAGTGGTGAGCATCCGGTCTGTCGTTCTGAAGTGAAGTATTCTCTAGATTTCACGGCCCCACTGTCATCCCCGCGAGTCAGCGCCATTGGTTCAACCGCCTGATCGATCTCCACAAGCCTTGGACGAAGTAGGTAGAGAACGTCCAACGAACGGCATTCCACATCGGAAACTCCGACCTGCACTTGGGACACGTTCTCCGCCATGGAGAGCTTCGGTTCGAGGAGATTTGGTCCATGCAAGAGACAACCACACGGAGGAAGAGACGGAAGAGACGACACATCTGGGGACAATCTGCAGTCGACATGCCGAAGTGCGGCGAGGGCCGATTGAGAGATGATATCAAAGGCCATATTCCGTATTGGACGGAGCAAAGCCACTCGGTAAATCCACCTAGCGGCCGTTGGAAAGGCCGTTGCAACGGCCGGACAGATGGCTTTTTACGGGGAATACCTGGTCAGCCTGGAGGTGTTTGAGGCCGGCATCCGAGTGCGCAATAAGATTTGACGGCTCCGCCTCGACGCAACGTTGTTGGACTCCACAGTGAGACGTGGTCCCGACGGAGGATGATCTTCAATGTCCGGTCAGGGAATGGCAGGTTGTACGGCCGTAGATGCAGGTCTCGGGGAAGGATGGCAAGCATCCGGCGTCAGAAAGCGCACGCCTGGTCAGCCAAGTGATCCGGCGCAGAAACAAGCTTATGTGTGAGCAGATATAAGGCGACGGAGGCAAAGCTTATTGTTGTTGCAGCGCGTCTGTCGACCGAGAAGAGGCAGCACAATCCCGGTTATCGGCGGACATTGTCGCTTGCGAGTATATTGAGATGGCGGTCCAGAACTAAGAGGCAATGTACGAGCGGAGGTTGGTCAGGGCCGATCGATCGCTGCGTTCTCCCCCAACGGAGTAAATTGCGGGCGGCGGGCAGCTGACTCGAGCAGACTCGCTATTGCCTGCGGAGGCGCGAGGCGAGGCCTTGCATTTCCTCTCTTGGCGCCCAGCATCACCGGTCATGTGAAAGCCATACCCGCGAGGCTGTCCGTTCTGTCATCGCCCCTGATCTTGAATGTGGCCGGCCGCCTTCTGATGGATCTCATTGTCCGGATACGCCACTCCCGCCTGCCGCCTTACTGTCATGGTAGGCGTCCCAGGCCGCAGCAGCGGCTGCCACACCTGTCGCTCAAGACATATCAAATGTGGTGAGTAATCACCACGACTACTACTCCAGTCGGCGCTGACCTTCCCCAGATGAGCGCAAGCCGACCTGTCACCGTTGCGAGAAATCCGGCTACGCCTGCCAGGGCTACAACAAGCCCATCCATTTCCGCATTCACACGGCTGGCGCCTCCGCTTCCACCGATACCCGCTCCAAGGAACCGCAGGACCAGCGCTATCTGATGGTCAAGAAGACGCGATGGACCAACCAGCCTGCTGCCGTGCCGCGCGAGCTGGATCTCTCGGCCTTCCAAAATGACATGGCCTTCTCTTTTACTTTCAAGAATCTCACCTACAGCAGCTTCGGTCGACCGTGGCTGCAGATGGCTGCTGCTGATCGTATCGACGCTACATCTTCTGCGGCGTGCAAGGCGCTCGCGCTGGGCTTTCTGGGAAACTCGCAGCGCCAACTCACGCTCCAGAACAAAAGTGCCGTCGAGTACGGAGCGTCTTTAAGGTTGCTTATCAAAGAACTGGCCAACGTCAAAGACGAAAATGCCGGCATGTACATCATTCCAGTGATGATCTTGCTAATGTATAATGTATGTCTTAAGGGGGAAGGCTTGAATTCCAGGAACGGCATCGGTTGACAGAAAACAGTTTTCGGTATGCAAAAATGCCGACTTCAGTCACCATGAGGGTCTGCGTCAGCTGGTTCTGTTCTGTGGCCCAGAGCGCTTCCAACAACAGCCATTGTTGAGTGCGTTTGAGGCAACAAGGGATATTTTAGTAGGTCACGGCATTTTCGTCAGTGAACGCATTTCGAGCTTACGCATACAAGATTTCAAAGGCACTTTTGGAGCAGAAACGGACATTCTTCGAAGAACCACATTGGAAGACGATACCATGGCTTCTGAACCCCACAGCCAAAAACCCCACCAACCAGCTCCTCGACATTCTAGCGGACATACCAGGATTTTTAGAGGACGAAGCCACTGTCAAACAGACTGGAGACCACATGTTGCAGCTTAGCCTGTTCTCGCGCGTTGAACAGCACTTACAAGAACTGTACAAATGGCGTTGGGCGTGGGAGGCGAACAATCCGGGTGCGGCCATTGAAATTACTTCATCGCCTAGTAGTAGCCCCGAAGATCCGTCGACACCACAAGGGCTAGAAACAGTCTTGCGATATTCGACCTTCCTCCAAGCCAACGAAATCTGCCTCTACAATGCCGTACTGCTCTGGCTCCTCCGCTTCCTTGACGACCTTAGCCCCGGCGGGTCGGCCTCTGCCTCGTCGCTCAACACCTTCGAAAGCCCAGCTACATTCTCCTCCCCGTCAAACACCACACGGTCGAACCAATCAACCGATGCAATCGATGATGAATTTTTGCTTGCGCAAGACAACTGGTCCAGAACACCTGCTACGCCGCTTTTGTTGCCAGGGCAGGCTCGTTCTCTAGGCCAACCAGCGCTGGAAATATGCCGCAGTTTCGAGTTTCTGCTACACAGTTTTGCGCGCAGCAATGATACGGCCCTGTCATGGATGATGCCTATCAGTCTTGCCTATTATGTCGTGCAGGAGGATAACGCATATACCAGCTGGATTCGTCGCAAGCTGAATGCGTTTGAAGGTAAGGAGAACCTTCCTATGTTTCAGGTTGCCATGATGATGATGAAGTGGCGGGCCGATATTCGGGATGCTGGGACCCTGGAGTGAGGAGGGATTAAAAAGAGACAGGCGTTGTGATGCATGCACTATGAGGCTGGCGTTTTGCATCAGCAGAGTGCCTGGTTTGCGAGCTGGATATCGTAGACCAGAATCGCTCGCAACAGCCAAAGACTTGATGCACCGCATCCGGTTGCAGGCGAGTCACCCAGGACCTCAGTGGCCGGACGTGCTTTCATCTATTCTCTAGGGCAACGACCCTCGGGCGCGCTTTGGTGGGTGTGGAGTAGCGCCAACTTTGGCTGTTCCGTCTATTATTGGAGCTTTCGCTGACTGGACATTCAAGGCACCAAAGATTGGAAGGTAGAAGAGAATCATTGGTCTCTTTGCTCCGTATATCCAGTATAACTGCACTTTCCTCCGAATACGAGGAAGCTGGCAGAAATTCATTGAAGTGCCGAGGACATCCACGAAGATAGAAAAGGAGAGAGCGACGGGAAGCCCAATGAATTGGGACAGTTGTCACGCAGTGGGATAGGGAGTCAACCTCCTTGCCGCCTTGCCGAGAAGGCGCAATGCAAGAGCGTATGGACGAGCCAGAGCTGACAAGATGGTGGTATGAGCGGAATACGAGTGTGTTGGATTCAACATTCAAACCGGATAGAGAGCGTGAGTTGTTCTAGTGTTTTTGAGAAAGAGTAGGAGTGGGAAGATACCCTAGATTGCGTTTCCAGATTAGCCATGTTTCCGGGTTATCCCGCTGAAAATGCCTCAGGCATGAATGTTAGGCAAGCAGCAGATCTTCAAGGCGACGAAGCATTTTCCATGAAACCCATAGTGGTTTCTTCTGAATGGGGATCGTTTGAGGGCCTGTGGCTTGTGAGCAAGGGCCAATGCCTAGCGAGCCGCTCCGCCGCGACAGCCAACGGTGGGCGGTGCTGGTTGTTGCGCCTGTCTTCCCGCAATGACCTCATATCTCATGCTTTCGTCCGGGAGATCTCCACGACCAACAAGCCCCTGCGCCCTCTGATTACGACAACAACAAGCGTCCGTTATTATTCTCTCTTGATTCGCAACATGCTTCTAAACTCTGATAAGATCTCTCTCAGGGGACCACTTACCTCTTGCCACCAGATTTACCTCGGTTGTGTCTGAGCACCAATCATCGACAAAGACAGATCGAACAACAACCTCAACCAAAAGACGCCAGCTTGAGAATGCACGATCCCTGGGAGGAAGTCTCCCATCCCCGAGAAGCCAAGGAGCATTTTGTTCAGTATCTCAAGAATGAGGTGTCTCATCTCAACTTTTATCGATTGCACATGCTCTATTTCCTAGTCACCATTCTCATCTCATCTGTCATTGTCTACGGCGAAGGTTTGGCCAATGGCGCTAAGCAGGTGGACGGAAAAGAGCTTAGGTATGTTGATGCGCTGTTTCTATGCTGTAGCGCAATGACAACGACAGGTAGGTATGCTAGCTCTTCCAAATTCATGTGGTGATGCTGACACTTTGGCAGGGCTTAATTCTGTCAACTTAGGGGACCTGACGGCGTTTCAACAGGCTGTCCTTGCTGTATTACTACTTATCGGCAACGTAATATTCATTTCAACGTTTGTTGTCATTGTACGCCGACACTTTTTCCGCCGCAAACTGGCCGATATCGTGCAGCACTCACGGTCTGGCCGAAAAGTTGTTGAGGACCTCGAACAGCAGGAAGTTGGCCACGGTCATCATGGTAGTGGGCTACGCAAGCGGGCCACCCCTAATGGCCAACACATGACTGTGGAAAAGAAGTGCGGGAGAAAGGTCCCCCTAGAAGAAACAGAAAAGCCAATCAGACGGCGTCATTATCACCACTCTGCCGGATACGGAGCTTTTCCATGGCCATGGGAAACGCACACCTTCCAACACCTCATCCGACGCCCTTTCCATAAGCTCCACAAAGAGTGGCAAGTTCAAGAGCGCTCCTACATATCCTTCGAGCCCGATCTCGATGAGCGAGGGCGCTTCAGGAACCTTAAAGAACACGAAAGAGAAGAATTAGGCGGCGTGGAATATCGCGCATTAGAAACTCTTTTCTGGATCCTAATTGCTTTCCAACTGTTCTGGCTAGCGCTCGGAACCGCCTTCCTGGTCCCCTACTCCTACCGCAGCGACATAAAAACCATCATCACTTCATCCCAACCGGGCGACCTCAACCCAGGCTGGTTCGGTTTCTTCGCCGTCGTAACAAGCTTCGCCAACGGTGGCCTCAATGTCCTAAATGTCAACTACGTCCCCTTCCAACGGCACTACCTGCTCTTGATAGTCAGCGGCGCTCTCACCGTCGTCGGAAACACGCAATTCCCCATCCTCCTCCGCCTCATCATCTACGCCCTCTCAAAAGCTTCGCCTAAAGCCTCTTGCCTCCGCCAAACCGCCCTCTTCCTCCTCCACTATCCCCGCCGCTGCTTCATCTACCTCTTCCCCTCCAAGGAAACCTGGTACCTGCTCGCGATCCAAGTCGCCATCGACACAACAATGTGGGTTCTTTTCGAGCTCCTCAACCTCGGCCTCCCCGCCGTAATGGCCCTGCCCCCCGGCACCCGCGCCGTCGACGGCCTCTTCCAGGCTACCGGCCTCCGCACTAGTGGCGCGTATATCATCAGCATAAGCAGCCTAGCCCCGGCGCTTCTGGTCGCTTATCTCGTCACGATGTATATCTCGTCGTTCCCGGTCGTGATGGCGCTGCGCCAGACCAACACGTACGAGGAGCGCAGTATCGGGCTCGACCGAGATTCTGTGCACAGCGCGGGCAGCGCAGACAGCAGCAGTGGCAGCGGCGGCGGAGGCAGCGGGAGCGGTGCCCAGCTAGGCCCACACATCCGCCGCCAGCTCGCCTACGACATCTGGTTCCAGCTGCTGGCCTGGGGCGTGATCTGCACGATTGAGCGGGCCAAGCTCGACAGCAATGCGCCGGGCTTCTCCATCTTCAGCATACTCTTCGAGATTGTCTCGGCTTACGGCACAGTGGGCCTGAGCACAGGCGTGCCCTCCGACAGCTACAGCCTGAGCGGCGCGTTCGATACGGGGAGTAAGCTGGTCATGGCGGCTGTGATGCTAAGGGGCCGGCATAGGGGCTTGCCGCTGGCGATTGACCGGAGCATCTTGTTGCCGGGGGAGGACCTGATGCATCGGCTGGACAGGGAGTACGGCGAGCATGGGGGGTGGGTGAATGAGGAGGAGCGGGAGGAACGGGAGAAATTGACGGAGCGGGAGATTAGAAAGCGCGAGATGGATGGTGGAAGGGAAGACGAGAGAGGGGAGGATGGGGTGCCACATGTTGAATTGTTGAGTTGATGGTCTCTATTTCTAAATATGGGGATGCGGGATGTCTCGCTATATGATGGAAACCATACAAACACTTTTCCCTGCGATGCCTCCACGCCCACAATGCTTTACTACTCCTTCGTCGCGTCTTTCGCCCCCTGTTCCTTTGCTTCCTGTCTTTTCCTCTCCTTCCCCTCTATCCTCAAAAACCTCTCCTCGCGCCACGTAGGCCCAAACTTCAAAACCAGCAGCAGCGGCGGCGCGCACGCAAACATGACCAGCCCCAAAAACGTATACGTCCAGCCCAGTCCCCACGCCTTGATAATATACTCGACAACCGCCGTCGCCGCAGCGCTCAACAAACACCTACACACGTTCAACGCGGCCGTCGCCGTCGCCGGGCTAGTAGGATACAAGTCGACGAGCAGACTCGTGATCATGGACATGGCGCCGCTGAGGCCTGCTCCGCCGACAAAGAGCACGACGAGCGGCGCGGCGAGCGAGGTGCGTGCGCGCAGCACCCAGCCCCAGACCAAGATCGCGGTCGAGCCCGTGAACAACGGGTACCAGGCGAGGCCGAGGCGGGCGCGCTCGATCGGGAAGCGCCGCAAGTCGGTGCTGCGCTTGCGGTCGATGGGGAAGCCAGCCCGCTGCGCCACGCGCCGGTAGTTGCGGTCCATGAGGCGGCCGCAGGTTAGGCTGCCGACTATGGCGCCGACGCTGAACGGGCTGGGTGGAGGAGTGTTAGCTTGGGATAGGTGAAATGTGGGGTGGAGTTGGGGAAAGGATGCACAAACATGTAACAGAGACCCACTTGGAGTGTGTTGAAGTCGTAGGTCTCGGCGAAGAGGCTGGGCATCGGGACCATGAGGCAGAAGAAGCAGGCCATGTACATGGAGAGAACGAATAGGATGATGCAGACGTCCTTCTCGACAATTATGCGGAGCGCATTGAGAGGGTTGGGGAACTTCACGCGACTGGTTTTGGCAATTACTTGCTCGGCCGTGCCTTTCTGCTCTCGCGATCGGTCCTCGAGGAAGTTCGTGAGAGATTTGTTCCAGCCCTGCGGCGGTATCGATCCATCACCGACGATGTTACGGCCGGTTTCTGGCACGAAGCCGACGTAGAGGATGAGATAAATACCGCTGGCGATGAGAAGGAACCAAAATATTGACGGCCAGCCTAGGAATTGTGATAAAATTCCGCCGATCACAGGGCCCAGCGCCGGACCTAGCTGCGTGCCTAATTGCACCCAAGCAACATAAGAGCCTCGCTCGGTGCTGGTCGTGATGTCTGCGACAACGCCGTTAGCTAGTGCAATGGTTCCACTGCTGCCTGAGCTCTGCAATGCCCGCAGGACCAGCAACGCCGCGTAGTCCCGCTGCAGCGCCAGGCCTAGGTTCGCGAAAACGTATATGGTGAAGCACATTATGTACACTGGACGTCTTCCAGCTTGGTCGGCCAGGTCTCCAAAGAACATGGGGGCGATACCCTGGAGTATCATGTAGGTAGTAACTGAAAGATTGATATTGGCGATCGAGACGTGGTACTCCCGTGCCATGGTGTTGAGACTAGGCAGGTACATCTGACCGGAGAGCGGAGAAAATATGCTTCCAAATGCTGTCATGAATATGATGAAGGCTTTCGTCTTGGGCGAAAAGACCGAGTGAATGGGTCGCTCTGGGGGTGCTGCGGCGGATACCTCCACATCATTTGATTCTTCTTCGCCGGTCGTATGGCTGCTGCTTTCCACGTCGGTGTTTGGCGTAACGGTTGCTATGTTCGTCGACACATCGGCGGTGGATTGGATGCTTTTTTCAGGCATGGCGCACATGTGTTATCGTGAAATTAATCGAATTAATGACGAAATAAGTGAGGAGTTAAAAGGTTTACTCCCAGGACAGCATGGTTTTGGGTCGAGTCACAACGGGGCAGAACGGAGTTTCCGAGTGACCGTTCCTACTCCTACAGCGCCAATCAGACGGCGAGGGTCGTACACCGACGGAAATAACAAACTTATGCCCATCCATACCTATGCTCCAGTTAAGACCGTCACTCCGCATTTTTGTGCTTCTGCGAACCGCGTGCGCACGCGCAGTTGCACAGTCCACCGCGATGCCTGCGCGTCATATAGCTAGCGGCTTTGCTTTTTCGACCTTGACCCTGTCTTTCTTCTTGGGCTGCCGCTTAGCACCAACGGGGAAGCGTTTCTGAGCTCCGCAGGCATTACATTCGACAACAAGTACATCTGCCCAAGGCTTCTTGCCGCCCCGACTCAGGTTCTCTACTCTGCTGGATGAGGTGCTACCGGCGATGAGTATGGCACTGCAACGTTTGCAGATGGAGTGCTTGACTTGGTGAGAGAGGCGGACTTGAGCCTTCATGGAGACTAGCTGGAGGTGGGAAACGAGATGGTATGGCGACGAAATCTTTGTCTGTGCATGGGTAGCCGGTTGCGTGTGTTCTCTTTGTGGGGAAGTTCCATTGTCTGCTTGAATGGCTAGATAGGTGGCGGCCTGGTAGAGGTAGGAGATGCGTGAATGGAGGTGCTTGTTGGGCACAGCCTTCTGGCTCTTTCCGGCGTCGGCTTTGGCCATCTTTCAAAGGTGTCGAGGCACGAGAGAAAGCAGAGAGAAAGCAGTGACGCACCAAAGCGGAAGGATGGAATTTGTGGCTGACACGGTCACGTGCTGCGTCTGTGCGCCTCCCGCTGTTTTCAGCTCCGTCGCCTCGCCAAAGAACGAACCTCAACCTCATCACCTCTCTAACGACCCACCATCTGCTCCTGTCAACCTCCTTCCGGCGCCTTCCCATCGAACCGCGGCGGTCGCATTGACGAACTCTTAACCCGCGACGACCCCCCAGCCTTTCGCACCAAAGACTTGACGAGCTTTTACGCGCGGCAAGGCTCGACTCCACCTTGACATCACCGGACACGTTCCGTCGCGTCAGATACGGCCTCCAACCTCACCTTTCCATCCAGTGCCGCAGCAGCCGAAAACCATCAACATGTCTCACGAGGAGGACCTGATCGATTACTCCGATGAGGAGCTCCAGCAAACCGAAGCCGTCGCGACGGGTGCGCCTGGCGCCGCCGCCAACGGCGAGCAGAAGAAGGGCGAGCTGACTGTCACCGGCGGCAGCGGTGAGAAGAAGGGTAGCTATGTCGGCATCCACTCGACCGGTTTCCGCGATTTCCTCCTGAAGCCGGAGCTTCTGCGTGCCATTACCGACTGCGGTTTCGAACATCCATCAGAGGGTTCGTCCTAACCTTTCCCCTCAAGCCCTCCGTTCTTCAAGAAGCGTCCGTCCATCTCCGCGCCAATAGCGAACGAATATCCGTCGAAGCAAGTGAGCGGCCGTTATAGAGGGCTTTGCGCGCAAGTTTGAGGTGTCTTGTACGACCTGGACACGCAGGCAGCTGCATCAGCATCAAACACGACACACAAAAATTTTCGCATGTCATTCGGCTTGCCGACTGAGCAGGACCATCGATTCTGCATGATCTGCCCTTTGTGGGACCGCAAAGCCGCTTGTGGCTTTGGCGCCCATACTGAGAACCGTTGGTCCGTTGTTATCTGTCTGATGACATCGGACCACTTTGACTTGGCTTCACTCGACTAATAATTGCGAGATGGACGGACGCGACGCTCGATTGCTTTCTATTATTACGCTACTTTTGGAACCAAATCTAACTCCTCGGTTCCGAAACAGTCCAGCAAGTCACCATTCCTCAGGCCCTTGTCGGTTCCGATGTGCTTTGCCAGGCCAAGTCCGGTCTCGGTAAGACGGCTGTGTTCGTCCTCGCCACTCTTCAGCAGATTGAGCCTATTGCCGGCGAGACCGCCGTTCTGGTCATGTGCCACACGCGTGAACTGGCCTACCAGATCAAGAACGAGTACGCTCGTTTCAGCAAGTACATGCCGGAGGTGAAGACCTCCGTGTTCTACGGTGGTACTCCTATGCAGAAGGATATGGAGGTCCTCGCCAACAAGGACACTCACCCTCACATCATCGTCGGTACCCCAGGTAGGCTGAACGCCCTGGTTCGCGAGAAGAAGCTGCGCCTTGGCAACGTCAAGATCTTCGTTCTCGACGAGTGTGACAAGATGCTCGACCAGATCGGTAAGTTGTTGGCAATGAATGGCTTATCAAAAAGCGCGTACTGACAAGCATCCAGACATGCGCCGCGATGTTCAGGAAATTTTCCGCGCTACGCCCACCCAGAAGCAGGTTATGATGTTCAGCGCCACCCTTTCTAAGGAAACGCGCCCCATCTGCAAGAAGTTCATGAAGAACCCGCTCGAGTGCTATGTCGACGATGAGTCGAAGCTCACCCTTCATGGTCTTCAGCAATACTTCGTGAAGCTGGCCGAGTCGGAGAAGAACCGCAAGCTGAACGACCTGCTTGACACTCTGGAGTTTAACCAGGTCATCATTTTCGTCAAGAGCACCCAGCGTGCAACTGAGCTCGACAAGCTTCTGCGAGAGTGCAATTTCCCCTCGATTGCTGTTCACTCTGGTGTCAGCCAGGAGGAAAGGTAAGCAGTAGCCCTGATTTGTGATATTATTGATTTGCTCACACCCTAGTGCAGAATTAAACGCTACAAGGAATTCAAAGAATTCAACAAGCGTATCTGCGTTGCCACCGACGTCTTCGGTCGCGGTATCGATATTGAGCGCATCAACCTGGCCATCAACTACGATCTTCCTGGTGATCCCGATTCCTACTTGCACCGTGTCGGCCGTGCTGGTCGTTTCGGTACCAAGGGTCTCTCCATCTCGTTTGTCAGCAGCGAAGCGGACGATGAGGTTCTTCACACAATTGAGAAGCGTTTCGAGGTTCCCCTTCCGTAAGTTGACATAAAAAGGGCTGCTTTTTCGCTGGTCGCATCGCTAACCACAATAAAATAGGGAATTCCCGGAGGGTGGCATCGACGCTAGCACCTACATGGCCCAGTAAGCGGCAGAGCGCGGGATGCGTGGCGGTTCTATGTGTTTTGGTAGCTTGGACGATGGCCGACACAGCAGCAGCCTCTCGATGCTATCGGATGATTGCCAAAGCAAGCCATCTACTACCGGTCAAAAGCTTTGGGCGTAGGGACTTTTGTAATGGTTGCTTGTTTTTTCTTTTCGCCTTGCTGTACTCTACTCGATGAAAATGCGAAATCAATGGGAACGAACACAATGCTTTGCACGAAACACGGTGACATAACACGGACCTCGGTGCAAAACCGTGGTAGTAGGTATATTCGAGTAAGTTAATTATGCGAAGGGGGGAAGCTGTCGTCACTGTGTCGTGGTTCGTTGGGCTGAAATGCGGAGAATGCTACCTACGGTACGGACAGCGGATAGCGATCAGGCGTGCGGCATTAGTTAGGCTATCTCCACAACGGCGACCAGCCTAGTACTAGCTCACATAACGGAGCGAGCGCGCGCGGCCGGCATAAGCCGGGCAGACGCTACGCGCCGCCGCCGCGACCGCATCCCCAAGCGGCATGCGAGCGTGCATGGGGCGCAGCAGCACGCGGCGAGAGCGACGCCGACGGCAGTGGGTGGCGGCGGATGCCTGAATGCGCGCGTCCGCCTGAAAGAAGAAAAAAAAAAAAAAAAAATCAAGGTATGAACTCCTAGGGTGCTAGGGCAAAAACCTGGCTACACACGCCACGCTACGCAAACGCCACAACTGTGC